ATAATTACGTCTTCACCAAATCTTGCCTTTAGCCACATAGAATCAGGTGGAATTTCTCCATTTCTTTCCAGTCCAAGAAAGCCCCATGAATTTGTTGTGTGTAGTTGACTTATTTGGTTTCGAGAAACTGATACAACTTCTGGATGCTCTGAAAACGTATTAACAGGACCATATTTGTAATATTATCAAGGATTGCACGACATACATGCTGAACAATTATAATAGTTTTACACACACACACACACACAAGTACTCGAAATTTCAGCTGCTTCTTCATCTTCAAGTACTGCTGCAAAACCGTTGATATAACGAGTGTAGGAGTAAAAGATGGCTTGTTTCGCCTTCTCCTTGCTGTCATAACGAATCCAAGCTTAATCATCAGTATTAGAACAACCAAATACAACAGTGATCACACAGCAGAAATACTCAGCACTGCATCACCTCTTCATACAAGAACCCAAAAGTTCATGATGGGCATCGGTTACCCTATCCAGGTCAGTGGTGGAAGGTTCAGAAGCATATCAAACTTAATCATGGTAAACCACATAAGACTGTACGTACACAGACACAGGTATCACTGTCAGTAGCAGAATTATAACATAAGAGAGATTGCTAATGTAACTTGAAAGACTAAACGATCAGACAACATTAATGCATGCTAGCTTGCCTTTTTTGCAGCCAGAATTGGACTCTGCAAGGTTGTGAAAAGAGTGAAAAACAGAAACAGAGAGCAAGAAGCTGTCCTGCTGCCCATGCTTGCTTTACTTTTTGCTCCACAAGAGAATAACGATTAACACAAATCCTTTATGCATATAGTATGACATTCTAAAATTACCAAATAAAAAAAAAATGCACAATATGATTAAAAGATAGAAACATGAAATAGTAATAACAATAATTGTTTAGCAGAATTCTTATTAGTTTTTATTGAGTCCAATATTATTTTCTCCTTTCTGTCTCTGTTCACTATACTTTAAATATCTAGTAGTTTGGGATGGTTTGATGAGTTTTTTTTTGACATTTTTGTAATCATTGAGGGTCTTGTATGTGATTTCATCTGTCGTGGAAATTTGGTAATATCAGAATGGAACCCGTGTAGATCAAATAAGTGGTTTCCATCTTATAAACCCTCGTCTTCTTCTCCTTTACCTCCCTGTCTCTCACCCTCAAAACCACGGATGTCAATGGGGCTGAGCATTTTCAATCCTATGCTATGCTGTTTTGGATCAAAATAAATATTTTTTTTTAATTTTTAAATTAAATTAAAAATTAATTTAAATCAACTAATTTTAGTTTAATTTAATGTAATTTTTTTTCTTTTAAATCAATTCAAACTAAAATTATTCCGGTTAACTTTTTGTACTTTTTTAATAACCATATTTTTAGAATTTTTATTTTTATACTTGCTTTTATTTTCTCCTCTGTGTCTTTTTTTTGTTTTTCGGGACATCTTGGTTTTCTCAACAAGCATGGCTCTTTTTTAAACTTATTAGATATGCATGATATCTAAAAAATTAATTTTAATTTTTTTTGTTAGATCCTTGCTCAAAAATTAAACTTGGCAAGAAGATACACGAAACAAAAAAATAAAGAAGTAATTTGGCTAAAAAAAACACAAAAAAAAATCAAAAGTTATTCAAATATAAAACCATCAAATCATTATTATATGAACAAGAGGAAACCAATTATAAAAAATCTATAAATCCTCACCATTCATCTTTATCTTCTTTAAGTGATAGAAGTCACTTTTCTTTTTGTTTTAGTTGGTTAAGTTCCCTCTCAACATATTTTTTTTCAAGAACTCTTATGTTAACCTTTTATTCAGCTTGTATACTTTTTTTTTTAAGTTTAGTGATTTCAATTCCTCGCTTGGTCTTTCCTTTCTAGAATGGTCTAGTTTCAAGTGTGCTTTTGATCAGGAGAATAGAAGAGCATAGAGTTTAATAGTTATGCAGCATTAAGAAGAAAGGGGCAATTTGAGAGAGACGAGAAACAGAGAAGCAGAGCAAAAGAAAGGGGCAACTAGGAATACTGATTTAGGTTTAGGGTTAAAAATAAATCTTTTAATTATATTTTTTTTTTAAGTGTTGTCCTAGTTGAATCGATTTGATTCCATAGGTTTCAGACTTTGGAAACCAAACCAAATCAAAAAAAAATATGATTTTCTAATAGATTGATTCAATTTTTTTTCTTGGTTAGATTTTTTTTGTTAATTTTTTTTTAGTTTTCTCAATTTAATTGGTTCATCCCTGAAAATATAACCTCAATTGTCTTAATTCTTACTAAAATTACTTATTAATAACTTACATTCATTTTAAGACTTTCCAACTATGTTTTCTTCGTGTCCTAAGAAATTAAAAGAAAAATAAAAATTATCTATATATAAAAATATTTTAAAAATATATTATTTATTTTATATGTAAGAATTTGGACAAGAGGGTTTGAGGGTACCCCTAACAGTACACTTCCAAGCTACTATTTTAAATATCAAATCATTAGTTGCCTTTAAGAAGCAAAATCAACTATGGTGAGAATATTGTTTTTAAATTATAAATATAAATATTTAAAACCTTGATTTTAAGTTTTAATTGTTAATAATTCTATTATTTGAATTTTTTATGTTCATGTAGATGTGTATGGATTTATTTTTATGTTTATGTATTTTTAAAATACTTTTTTTTGATGCTCTGAACGAATTTGGGTTACATCAATATGAGCATATATAGGTACATGGAATATGAGTAATAGTCTTTGGACTCATTTTAATCAACATAATCTTAAACATGTTTATACTTATCAATTTCTCACTTTCCCTGTGGATCTAATGCTTGTTTTTCAAAAATGAAAATTGTTCCTTATTACGAGACCCAAGTTTTAAATCATTGTGTTAAATCATAATAGTATTTTATCTTCAATAACAAATGAGAATATGCTATTTTAGATAAACTCTTAACGTGTAAACACATTAAACATCTTTATCATTAATAATAAACATGAAGCAACTTACTTTAAATAGAATCTATAGGATGATTATTATCTTCTTTATCATATAACCAACTTTTTACCCAAAATTTATTTTATTTTTAATATTTTTTACATATAATTTACTAAGATATCTTATAGGATACTAGATATGTCTTAATATTAAAACCTTATTTGTTTCATGAAAACCATTTTCCAAGCTATTTTCCAAACTTTTTCATGTTTGTTAACTTTAGAAAGGTAGTTTCCAACTAAAGAAAAAAAAAATTTCTAAAAGAAAAGTGTTTCCCTCTTCTTAGCTCCCAAAAAGACTTTCCTTTTATTTAACAAAAAATAAACCTCATAGATCCACCTTACCAATCAAGATTGAAGCTTCCTTGAATCCCTATAATTTCAGGTAATCCTCTCCCTCAAATCCCTTTCTTTATCTTCTTTTCTTTTTGTTTTTGTTATGTATTATCTATTTTTTTTTAATTAGATTTTTTAGTTGTGATTGTAAAGTGGGTCTTGGATTCTTGTTAATTTAGGATCTTTTTCTATTTCTCAAATCATCTTAAATTCACCAGAAATTTTAATGTTTTTTTGTTATCAACTATTATTATTATACATTAAAAGTAGAATTTTCCAAATAATATTACTATTATGTTTGAATTGGGTACACTTGTTCAAAAACAACACCTAAGATATTTTACAAAATTATGAGGTTTTCCTACCTCTTAAGATGGTCAGATCCTCTTTGTAGGAATTCATTCATCATTAGCTTGATAGCTAATTGGAGTGCAATATCTGATTTGATACTAGCAATAATTTTTCTAGGTAAAATTATAAAGCCTAAAGTACCAAAAAAAAAAAAAGAAGCTACAATAAGTAGATAACATAAATACATCTTTTATACTTTTTGACACCTACAAAATGTATGGATATCCTTATGTTCTCCATGGTGTAAAAGACTGCCTTGAGCAGTAATAAAATGCATAGACCTGTGTTATCTACTTGAGTCTTGGACTTCTTGGTAGAACCTTTTTTTTTGTTTAATTTATAGAGGTTCGTGTGAGGCAAGCTATGTCTCTTAGTTTCAATAATTGCATCTTTTAGCATATTCAATTAGATTTTACTTAAAAAAAATATTTAATAAGGTTAAATATCTATAATATTACTTATATTATATGTATAGTTACATTTTATAAAATAAACTATATATAAATATATAATATAATGAATTCTTTGTTTTCCCACCATTACACTTTTTATATCTCAATTATTTATTTATTGTAAGTGATCAAATAGTTATATTTATTGTTCTATATATGTTAGATAATCTTGAAAAGAAATTATTAAGTTATTTTCAAGTTTATTTTATATGGGAATTGTATTTTTAACTCATTTTTTATAACTTTACCAAATATAAAAAAATTTATTTTAAAAAAATCTATATTCAATAAAAATCATTATTTAAAAATAAATTATTTTCCAACAAATAAATAAGACTTAAACTTCTCTACAACCGATAAAATTTGATCTTTACTAGTGACTAATCCTGAAATTTTCGTAGGGATCCAAATTTTATTATCAAATAAATTCCTATCAATGTCTCTGAAGTAAAACTTTTGATCAAGTGACGAACAGCTCATCTAGAATTACCAAGTTATAAAGAGGTTGCATGTATTATCAGTCTATTTTATCAACATATCAAATGGGACTTAAGAAGAATTGGCTAACAAATCTTTGAAGTCATATCACCGAAACATTGATTTTATAAGACCTCGAGGGATATGACAATCGAATGTCTTTATCATAAGATTTTGTTAATAAATGAAAGATGGTAAGCTAGGCTTCGAAGCATTACCTCCACTCTCAAAAAACCTAATATACAGTAACCTAATCAGTTGTCTTCTCCATCCATCGAAGTTGACAGACATCAGAAGGTGAAGAACAGAGCCATAAATAACATAAAAATAGGAAAACAAAAATACTAAAGAAAATACACGAAAAAAACTAAACAAAATCAATAGAAAGTAGATAGAAACGAAAAACCATTACAAATTATTCATATACCAAACCATTTATTTATATTTTTATTTTCTTGCAAGTTCAATTACTCGATTAGTGCCAAGAAAAAAGTTGACACATGCTTGTTACATTCGTTACTTGTCATGACATGGAACGGGAATTTGAAGATCGATTTGGTGACCATGGAGATATATAGATCTCTACACGCTGGCCCTCCACCTCCAAATCCATACGCCTGGTCATTGTCCTTCAATCTTAGGCTGCTACTGCCATCTTCTTCACCACAACAGGACTCCTTACATGGTGATTCTCATCAGACCAAGTTATCTCTCCAAACACATAGTCATTGCTCTTAAAACCTTTCTTGACCTCTAGAGCGACCTTGAACATTTTCTCTTTGTTTATCTTATCGAACTTCAAGCTTCTTGGCTCAACATTCACAGATATGCCTCCAGGTGCCCTGATATTAACTCTATACAAGCTTGGAGTCCCCACGTTCTTCAAGGTTCGGGACAATGTGGTCTTGCTTGAGAGATTCGGGACAGTAATGGAAGGATAGTTGAAATCCAGCAGACCGTTGTTGTGCGACTGGCATATGTATGGCTTACCAATAAAAAGTGACAGTTGGGTTGAATTATAGCCAATGGAGCATAGAAAATTCACGTAATCTTTAGTCGTGAGGTCATAGACCAGGCCTGGGTCCATTGCAAGGCTAGGCCAGATGTGCCCGGCACCATAATTCAATGGGTTTGCCTCAAGAAGAGAAGCATTTGCAATAGGCCGCTTCACATTACTGATCGTTGTCGCTGAAATGTCATAAGCAACCACTGAAGCTGTCAATAACTCGCACACCAACAACTTGGAGATGCTAATGCGAAGAGCAGAAAAGCACTAACCTGTTGTCATGATTGCAGATTTAATTGCAGCAGGACTCCAATCAGGGTGAATAGTCTTGAGAAGACCAGCGATTCCGGAAACATGGGGGCATGCCATTGAGGTTCCAGATCTAATGTTGAAATGTACTCGGCGCCGGTCTCCTCCCACAGCAGCTGGCCCTGATGCTCCTGTGAAGGCAGCTAGAATATTGACTCCAGGTGCAGTGATGTCGGGCTGAAATCATCACATGCACTCTCACTATAAAAATAATATTGAGCATGTATTTTAAAACGATCATGGGAAGCTATTAAGAGTACCTTAAGGATCTCTGGGTTGATGAAGTTAGGCCCAGGAGATGAAAAATCAGCCATGACAGGCGCAGCCACTGTTCCCACCTCCGTGGCGCCACTTATGTAAGCTACAGGTGACCTGAGTGAAAAGAGAAGTTCCAAGAGATTCACAGGATCAAAAACGAAAGATTGTTCAGGGCATTATCGACTGAAATCAACCAAGTTTAATTGTCTGAATTATCTATTAACGTAGACCTTACTTTGTACTATAGACATAAGTTAAAATGGAAAGTCCATCGCCTGCAGAGACAACGGAAGTAGGAACAAAGTGTGCCCGAGGGCGGGGTTGTTGAATTATCAATTGATTAGCAAGTATCCCCCCAACACCACCAGCTTGAGCAACAACCAGACTCTTTTCTAAATCAGGATCTTCGTTGCGAGTACAGTATACAATTTTTCCTTCAACTTTCAAGGGGTCAAGGGATCCGATAGAGCAATATTTTCTGCCAAAGACAAGATAAGAAATATGAACCTAACAAGCACAGAAATTGTAATTTTGGCTGAGAACAAAATTAGTTTGCTGCTTACGCTTGATTACTGGAAACATTGGCAGCTTTAGCATCCACCGAATTGATCAAGGGGTAAAACTTCCCAGCTGGTTGAGTGTTGGTATTAAAACTCACACCCTGATTATTTAGAAATTAATATATCGAATTTCTGGACCCCATGATAGGTGGAACAATTTACAAGGACTTGCTAAAGATACGAGCTTACAGAACAAACCTTGTATTGTTTGTTGTTTCCAAGGATGACATTAGATGTGAACTCCCTACTGATAGTGCTACAAGCAACTGTAAGAATCCAGGGAGCTACATTCCCAACCATTCCAGGGTCAGGTCCTTCATTTCCGGCGGCGGCAACTACAAGAATCCCGTTCTCCATGGCAAGAAATGCTCCAATTAAATTCCCATCAGTAATGTATTCTCCCGGACCGGATCCAAGTGACACTGAGAGGATATCGACCCCATCATGAATAGCAGCTTCATAGCCAGCCAACACATCAGCATCGTTGCAGCCGGACCAGCAGACCTTGTATGAAGCAACTCGCGAGTTGGGCGAACCTCCCTTCGCTGTTCCATAACCTGAACCAAGTAAGTTTGCCCCCGAAACAAAACGACCTCCTGCAGTGGATAGAGTGTGGGTTCCATGGCCATCATAATCTCGCGCGGTGTGGTATGAAGAATCATGTGTTTCTGCTGCTTCGTAGCCTTTGCTAAAGTACCTTGCTCCTATAAGTTTCCTGCTAATAACAACATATCTTTTATGTTACTAATCTTGCTATAGGAAACGGAAGAATCTGTCTGCGGTTCATTATCAGATGCAAATTGAGTAGTTCAGGTCAAGAACAGAGCTCTGGCCTTGAGAAAGAAGTTAAAGTACCTGTTGCATTTAATCCCATCAATTGGATCACAGTATCCCTTCCATTTAGATGGAACAGGCCCCATCCCTTCATCATTGAAGCTTTCGGATTCCGGCCAAACACCTAGCATCATGCACAGTCAAGAATAATAGATTGAAAATTAACCATCATTCGAGATTTTTCTTTCATAAGCAAGGCAGCTGTACCGGGTCCAAAATAATTGAATGCAAGACACATTTAAATTAAGAAGATAAAATGATATGAAGAACACTTGACCAGTTCTATGCATGTACACAGACATGTAAAATTAGAATTACCAGTATCAAGGGTCCCGATAATTACGTCTTCACCAAATCTTGCCTTTAGCCACATAGAATCAGGTGGAATTTCTCCATTTCTTTCCAGTCCAAGAAAGCCCCATGAATTTGTTGTGTGTAGTTGACTTATTTGGTTTCGAGAAACTGATACAACTTCTGGATGCTCTGAAAACGTATTAACAGGACCATATTTGTAATATTATCAAGGATTGCACGACATACATGCTGAACAATTATAATAGTTTTATACACACACACACACGCACACAAGTACTTGAAATTTCAGCTGCTTCTTCATCGTCAAGTACTGCTGCGAAACCGTTGATATAACGAGTGTAGGAGTAAAAGATGGCTTGTTTCGCCTTCTCCTTGCTGTCATAACGAATCCAAGCTTAATGATGATAGAACAACCAAATACAACAGTATCACACAGCAGAAATATTCAGTACTGCATCACCTCTTCATACAAGAACCCAAAAGTTCATGATGGGCATCGGTTACCCTATCCAGGTCAGTGGTGGAAGGTTCAGAAGCATAAGAGTGTCTCCCAAGGTAAACCACATAAGACTGTACGTACACAGACACAGGTATCACTGTCAGTAGCAGAATTATAACATAAGAGAGATTGCTAATGTAACTTGAAAGACTAAACGATCAGACAACATTAATGCATGCTAGCTTGCCTTTTTTGCAGCCAGAATTGGACTCTGCAAGGTTGTGAAAAGAGTGAAAAACAGAAACAGAGAGCAAGAACTGCCCATGTTTGCTCTACTTTTTGCTCAATAAGAGAACAACGATTAGCTTGCCTTTTTTAACATTTTGTAACCATTGAGGGGCTTATAGGTGATTTCATCTCTGTCGTGGAAAATGGAACCCCTCTGGGTCAACCCATGTCTCGTCCATTTCTCTGACCCTCCAAAGCACGTACGTCGAAGCTTCAAAGAAGAAAAGCCGAAGTCTCAAAACTACTGTCAATAGTTTTACTTTTACAGCGTGTTTGGTAACATGGTTAAGATTATTTTTTAAAATATTTTTTATTTAAAAAAATATATTAACAATATTTTTTATTTTTTAAAAATTATTTTTAATATCAGTACTTAAATTTAAAAACTTAAAAAACATACTAATTCAGAACAAAAAATTAAATTTTTTTAAAATATTTTTCTAATGCGAAACAGTATCTTAATCTTGTCATTAAATAATTTTGCATAATGATTTTACACTTAAACTTTAAAAACTACTTGTCTTGTTTTGTTCATGGCTTGCATTATCTTTAAAGCTTTTCAACTATGTTTTTTTTTTCAAAAAAATGTATTCTAAATTTTAATTTTTTCTATTAAAAAATAACATCATTTTACAAGTAGTAAACGTTTCTCATTAAATGATTTCAACGGGAACCGGAATATCTAGATAATTTATGAGAAAATTGATAAATAAAAATTAGTGAAAGAATCTACTCGTGGGCCTTAATGGATGTCCTTGTATGCTTACACATGGGCCTCAATTCTGTCTTTTTATTTTTTAAGTGGGTCCTATCCCCCTTGAATGATCTACTTAAAGATAGCACGACTTGATTTTTAAGTCGTCTTATCCCAAAAAATAAAAAGAAAAACGAGAATGGTATGTACATGATATTATTTTCAAATTATATTAAGAGGTAACGCTAGCATTACGATTCATGAATTTAAAAAATTGATTCGAGTTAATTTTTAATTTTTTATATTATTGTTTTAGAATGTTTTTATTTAATATTTGTTTGATTTGAAAATTAAAATTCATAATTTTTTTCAATTTATTTTATACATGGTTATTTTAATCTCATGATATAAATAATAGGTCTGGAGAGTTAGCTCAGGTTGAATCGGGTTATTTTTTTAATTTGTTTTCTTTTTAGTTTTGGCTTTTAATATATAATAAATTGAGAATTTAACTTCTTGATTTTTTTTCTATTAAGTTATTATGATTTCATGACAATAATTATAAATTTATTGGGTCAGTTTTTGCTTTTAATTTGTTTTATAACATGTTTTTTTTTTATCATTTAATAATAAACTAGTTGAAAACTAGGCTTTGTAATGTTTTTTTTCAATTTTTTTTCTATGGGTTAATCTTATTTTCATAACTCGGGTGGTGGATTTATCCAGGTTAACTTAAGTTTTTTTTGTTATTTGTTTTTAAATTGAAATTTTTTTATTATTTCTATATTTCAATATTTTTTATTATTGATAATTAAGTTTTTTAATTTGTTTTGTAGGTCAGTTAAGGTTGATATAAATTGATCTGATATACTGTCGCCTTAATATTTAAGAAAGATATTGTCTCATATAAATAAAATATTGAGTTTATTATTGATTTTTATCTTAAAAATACATTTATAATACTTTTGTATTTTTTTTTTATACTTTAAAAAAATGATTTGACCTACAACATAAGGTGGGTCAAGGATTTGGTATGATGTATGCTGTGGTATGGGCATAAAATAATTTTTTTCTTATTACTATCTTAGATTTAACTAAAGAAAAAAATAATTGATCATGAATACTGGAGTCTAAAATTCTGTCTGAATAAAAATTGCATGGAATGTGCACAAATAAACACTTAATTTCTTGATTTTGTTCTTCACTATTGTGGGCTGAGATGACCAGAGCAGAGTTTATGGCTTGTGATGGGTTGGGCCATTGTGGGCTCATTCTGCAGTGCCTAACATTATACGAAATCCAGGGCTTCATCCACTAAGCTTTGGGAAACGATATTCACATGCACATGCTTTTGGCTAGTGGCAAGTCACTCACAGACTTGATGAAATCCTGCAAGATCAGCGAAAAAGGGAGAAGGATGGGACTCTTAGCCACTGAATGGAGCCCGCGACCATGAAGAACATGGCGTAATTGCACGATGAATCGTAGCTTGAGAGCCCTAGGAAGATCCACAGACACTGAACACAGAGGGCACATGACACTGGTTTGATTCTCAGTACTCCATTGTGATAAAGAAAACAGCATGGGGTAGGGTCAATGACGTCGTCACTTCTTCAAAATGGAATATTGGTAGAGTCATGACCACATATTTCATATAATGCTTGTCTCACTTGTTTGACAATGACTTGAGCAGCAGCACTGTTCCATCCCCTCAGCAAAGAGGTGAAAACAAAGGAAAAACAAGAAATCCAGTTTCTTTTACCCTAAACATCACTCAGTTACAAAAAAAAAAGAAAAAGAAAAAAAACTAAATCAGATAAGTTATTTACTGTGCTTTGTGAGTTAAAACACTAAATCAGCTAGGTTATTTACTGTGCTTTGTGAGTTAAAACACTGTGGATTCATACAGTGTATTGTCCATTTTATTTAGACGAAGGCCTTCATTGTTATTTTCTGTTCTTTCCTCATCATAGATCCAACGCATGTTCTCTTTAATCCTGGATTCACTGTCTAATTATAATTTATATTACGAGTTAGTGCAATGATAACACCACAGTACTGTGCTTGAATGTTTTGCTCTTTTTTATTGATGTTTTCTCCTCTCTTTTCCGCTGTACGCAATACATTAACCAAATCATTTTCTTTTTCTCACAACTGATAGAAGACTGGAACCTAAAACGGAGCAGTGTAGCTAGCTAGGCCCTTTATCATTGGGATTCCCGTTGTTTTCTCCCTTTTCTTCTTACTTTACTTCCTCTTTTGATGGGAGGAGGGTTTTGTAAGTTGTCTTTTGGAGCAAAAAGGAAAAATCAATGGAACTGTGGTGTCCTGTTTTACTTAGAAAAGAAGATTAAAGGAGTATCATGCTTGTCGAAAAGGTGGACAGCATAAGCTTTTTGGTAACGACATTTATCAAAGCACTGTGCAACATAGTATTTAAACCCTATTTTTTTAGCGTGTCCAGCATTAAAACTAAGTTTTTCTCTACATCGATTTGATATATTTAAAGAAATTTAATAGATTTTTTAGAATGTTAATTCCAAATTTTTAGCTGAAAAAATCTAGATAAAAGCATGATTTCTTAACCATTAGATTAACTTCTTAAAGTTATCATTAAATTTCAGAATCTCCGAGTTAATTTTAATATTGAGAGACAAATGACGTGAACCAAATTATTTATTTAATCTATTACCAAAACATAATCCTAATTGCCATTGATCATGTAGAATTTATATGGAACCCACCAATATATAGATATATGGCAAATAAAGTGGAAGATTGTCTCCAAGACTCGCGGTATGGTATAATATATATATATATACCCAAAAGAAAGTGTTGGTTTCTGGCTACAAAGACCCACTCCACAATTATTTGTTGGAAAAAGAAAAGCAAAAGAAGAGAATAATACACTTGCAGACCACCGTGTCATAATTCATGGCCTGTTCACATTATTATACTTGTGGGACGGTGGTGGCCGTAGCAAGGTCCCATTCGAAATTGTATGACGAGGGAATACAAAGTTTTGTGATTCTCGTTTTTTTTTAATAAACACGTTAAAGTGAAAGTTATTTCAGCTCTAATCTTGTACAAGTTCATCTTAGTTTTATAAAATAAGATAGGAGTAATGAAATTCAAACTCTCCTCACTTTATTTCAGTAATTTCACTCGAAGTTCAGCGATGAGGAGAAAGGATTTGTGGTGACTACAAGCCATTGAAGAATCTGGGTTAGATTTTAGAAGATCAGAAAGGTTTTTACTTCAATCTTTAGCAAAGAGACAAACACCCTTTGGGGCCCTCGAGCGACAGTACCCGTGAATCATTGACCACAGAAGGGAGGCTGATTTCACTTCAAGGTTAAGGTGATTAATTACTATATAGCATCATCAGGGTAGACTCTTGTTAATTAACGAAGAAGACACCATTAATTACTATGTAGCATCATCAGGGTACACTCTTGTTAATTAACGAAGAAGACACCATTTTCTGCTTCAAGGATGATGCATGAGTACATTTCCAAAATGGATCATTATTTTAATCTTCAGAGATAAGCATGTGAACTGTGCATGATGCATACTGATACTGCTTAACAGTTTTGTTCTTCAATGTTAACAGAAGATGTATGAATATATGTGGCCATTAACAGATCAAGAATGTGCTTGTAACATGGACAGTGATGCTTGTCATGTCAAAGTCTACGGCACATGTTGGGTCGGCTCTCACAAGCTCTCAACTGTCACATCCCCACGTGCCTGCAGTTCCCTATTTTATATGAGGCCATTAATATGCAGCTAATCCATGTCGTGCCAAGGCCAAGGGTCTCAAATTCAGTGAACTGCGTAGATTTGACTTGTTTATGATCAAAATCATGACCACGTCGTTTGGAAAGCGATTCATATTAATTTGCGTGGCGACTTTGTGATCCCTCTAAGAATTGTCTTGAAATATCTATTTCAAGAGGCTATAGAGAAATTCCATAGCAATTGTGGAGTTTTAATAGTGTTGTATTAGAAAATGTACGATGGATTATAAGATCAATCTATGTTGGTGATTAAGGCATTACAGATATCTAGTTCGATGAGCTATGAAACAATAACATGTTTGAAACATTATAAATTGTCATTCTAATATTAACAGTATTCTTTTTAATAAATAATTTAAATATATATACATATATAAAAGTATTTTTTTTATTTAAAAAAATCATCATTTTTCCAAATTTATGAAGCTAAATGCAAAGAAAAATGATGAAACTAAAAAAAAATTAATTTTAAAAAAACAACCCAAAAAAACTTAGAGTGAATCCTAGCTAAATAAAAAAACTTATGATCAAGGTCAAGACACCATGATAATAAAGTGAAATGAATCCGGTTAGATTTTAGAAATGAGTATGAATAAAACATTAATAACTTCACAAATTTAAAGTATTAAAGGAGTTAAAAAAAATTA